TGGGGACAATGTCTATATAAATTAACTTTTGAATGTTAAAAGTTAAATGTTACCTTTTATGATTGGCTATAAGTATTATTAAAGAAAAATTGTAATATTGAAAATTTTAATTGAAAATTACGTGGAAATAAGCCTATTGTTAATAAATGCGGCCACTGACACTCACAGTGAGTAGGCAGTCTAAGAAGAAAAACTATTCACAAAAATAGAGAACAAAAGACAATAGTGTAGTGGCATATTAACCATGACCACACACAATACGTTGTGTGCGGTATTTAATGTGTCACGCAAAAAAAAAAAAAAAAAAAAAAAAAAAAAAAAAAAAAAATTAATAAAAACTGTCTTGTGACAACACTCAAAAAGAACACGTCTATTATTTTGATTTGTAAAAGATAGAACTTTACATGGCGATCCTGCCAAATTGCGAAAGGCAAAGACCAAACTAAAAACTAAAGAGAAAATTAATTAAATTATAATGTGAATTTAAAACTTAAAAACTTAAAAATTGAATCATATGCCTTAGTGATTTAGTGATTTATATTTAGCAATAAAACTGAAAGTGTACTTAACATAGATCAACATTGCTAATGCAAGGAACAAAATATTGCTAATGTGAGTTATTTAACACATGAAAGTTCAAAAAAAAATATATAGTGAAAAACTGTGTAAAAAACTGTGTTCAAAAACAAATTATGTGCATCAGAAATTTTATTCAAACAAATAATATGCATTAGAAATATTATTCAAAACTAATAAAATGTTCATCAAAATTTGACAATAATTTAAAAAAAAAATAATAATAACAAAAACCCAGCATTTCAACTTACAACTTACAATTCAACTTACAATTTCTAAAACAAACAAAAAAAAAAAGGAAACAGAAAATTTCTTCAACAATTCCGAAACAGCTTTAAAAGATGGGATGGTTTTCGAGCGATGAGTATAATACTCAAAACAACCTACAGCAGAAAACGGACGTCACGAACAACTTGCAGAACCACAATACAACACCATCGACCGGAAAATTCGAGGTAGTAATTATAACATTATTAATAGTATTTATTATTTTGTACATTGCGAATAGAATAAATAATTATATAAAAAAATATGTACATAAACATGTACATACAACTTTAAACACTAGCAATGTATAATTATTATTAACTATTGTCAACACAATAACTATTATCAAAATTAATTATTATCAATACAATACACTATTAATATATTTTCACTACATCAGAATGATTATTATAATTATATCGATTTAAAAATAAATATATTACCATTTAATAAATTAAATATAAAAATACAATGTAACAAAAAAAAAAAATATATATATACAAAATACATAAGATTCTATTGGAAATTAGTTGTAAGAAATTATGTTAGAGATAAGAAAAAAAATTTAATAAAAACTGTCTTGTGACAACACTCAAAAAGAACACGTCTATTATTTTGATTTGTAAAAGATAGAACTTTACAATAGAATCCTTTCTAAACAAGAGTGCTAATAACATAAAAGAGGAATAAGATAACCACATCGAAATTCAATACTTAAATCAAATAAACTTTAATATTGAATTATTAGCAAGTCATATATCAGATATTGCAGAAGCAATCATACTTAGTAGTCTTAATATCCTTCCTAAACTCCTGCTAAGCTCTAAAGAACTCGAAGAAATAAGAAATTCCTTAGACAAAAAAGAGATAACTATAAATGTATATGAGCAAATATATGAACTCCTTAGTTAACAAACCTACTAAAACCAATCAAATATAATATTGAATATCCAAATACCTAAACTTTCAGAACAGAAATATAATTTTTACATTATTCCTTTGCCTATAAACAAAACTAAAATAATCTCAACAAAACAATATATAAGTTATAATGAACATAACATACAGCACCATGACATCGTTTATCTAAAAATAAAAGGAATTTATTTCTGCAACAAGTCAAGCTGTTCTGTATCTAGTTTAGATAGATAGCCTAGAGTTTTAATAAACAATTTCTTATGAACCTTTTTCTTGGTACGTAATGCAAATTGTTAATACGACCCATTTTCATTTTTTTACAATTTCTGCATACAACGCGGAAACGTTTTCATTTTTAAATAATATTGAGTTCAATCAGTAAACTCAATAATATTCCTTATGCAGAGTTGTGTGTTTCGAAATATTGGCAGTTACCAACGGGTAACTAGGTCAATATTTAACCTAGCAGTTTAATTTTATTTTCTGCGGAAACAGCAGAAATTAATTGAATTTTCCGACCATGCATTACGCACATGATCAATGTATCACTACTTTCCAAAGGTGAAAACATAGATGGAAAGTTCAGAACAGTTCAGTTGGTTTTTGAGCAGTGCGTTACGATGTGGTTGCTCTGAGAATTGTTCTTGAGAAGCTTTTGTTTTGAGCGTTAAAGTATCCAAGAAACAGTTTTTTTCGGGTTTTGTTGCTAAAATCAATTGATTAGTTACATTTTTATTTTTAATGAAATTATGAGTAAGTGTTTTACAAAGGAAACCACCTATTACAAAGTTAAACATTAAATAAAACAAAAAAAAAAACTTAAATCGATCATATGAATAAGAAGGTGCAACAGAAGAAAATATTTAGTGAATTTAACACTTCAGTAACATCAGCCAGCAGTGCAACATCAACAACAGCAGCAATTTCAGCAACAACAGCAGTTGCAACATCAACATTAGCAGCAATATCAGCAACAGCGAAGCAACAACAACTGCAGCGGTACAGCAGCAATACAAATATTTTAAATAAAATAAAGTCGTTGAGTTTAAAATTAAGAGGGTGTATTATTTTTTAGTGGTCTGTTGTGGAGACACAACATCATTTCCACAGAAAAACACAACAAAGCCTAGAGGAATTAACAACAGAGTCTGAATGCATGAGCAAACGAGTGAAAGATGAAGTCGCACACTGTCCATCCACCACAATTGATGACACCGAAGCTATAACACAGCCTCAATCTGACAAATAAAAGTTAGCTGTTTGGTTTATATTTATTGAGAAATATGAAGAGAAAAGAAGAGAACGTTTTAATTTTTTGCGCAATATCACCATATTGTTTTAGTTTTGTTATATATATCAAAAAAAACTTATTCTGGAGTTTTAATTTGTAATTTTTAATTATTCTATTTTTAAGTTGTTAATTTAATTTTTATTATTAATTACGATGATTGAACCTTAAATGTATGCATTTTAAAGAATAAGGTATTTATATTTCTGTGTTATTTTGAAGTTAAATTAATTTATGTAATTATAGCACTGATGAAGTTCTTAAATAAAGAACGAAATATTTGCGAATATCTCTAAATAAATGCGTTTCATTGTTCGTGTCTTATAGTTGATAAAAATATAAGCAACTATTGCTTCTACTCCAAGTAATTCCTTGTGGCCGACTTTCTACTCTAAGGGGTCAGGAGTTACAATTATTCACTAAGCCGCCACACAAGATGACAACGCACTCATACGAAGAATGGACTATGGACAAAGAATAAACTATTTTTCTATAAATGAAATCAAGCAAAACCTCTTATTGTTTTCTATATATAAAATGTTTAGTTTCATATTAATTCAAAAATTATTACAAAACCACTTATTGTATTTTCCTTTTATTTATTTTAAGTCAATGTCCTCAAATTACGACGTAAGTCTCTGCATTAAAAATATACTTATTCGACCTCAAAAGAAAACTGCACTTACAAAAAAAAAACAATATTACAAAATATCCGCTAATGGCAAAATGCAAGTGGTAGAAATTTCGAAAGTATTCCACTTACTGATTTCTACAACAAACAATATGTTGCATTTCTAGGAAATGTTTAGGAAAATGCAACAGATATGTGCATAAGTGGAATTTTGTTTATGTGCAATAAATTATTTTTGGGTCACAATATTGATTATTCTAGTGTTTCATTGCATAATTATCGCAAAGTAGAAATACCACGCCAACTTAGATCATAATAATGTATTGTTAACTTAAAATATATTTATTACAATACAAAGAAAAAGAATGTAACAAATATTAACTGCATATATTTTGTAAAACATCTTACATCTCTGACAGACTAATAATTGGCAAAAACACATGCAGGTACGCAATTGTCTGCGCAAAATTCATATGTATTTTCTAGTTAGGTAGAATGTTTAGTAAAAATCTATATTTTTCTGATCTATATTTTAATGAAAGAATCTACAGTTTTTAACAAATAAGTCTGGTTAAAAATATGGAAACTCCAATCCCTTTTTGGTTGGCAACTGCTAAGAACACGGAGCCATTTTGTGATAATAAAAATATATTTCTAATTATACCTATTAAAGTCTGAGATATTTCCAAATTAATTTTGACACCGCCGAGTACTACGTGAGATACTTTCAACGTTAACTTGTCGCAAAAAGTAGTTCAATAAGGTATATATATATATATAAATATATGGGTATTAATAAAATTTAAGGGTATTAAATCAAATCTTCAATTACATTAAATATATAATAAGTAGTTTTATATATAAATTGATTAAAATTTTAACGAATGATCTAAAAAGATAATTTCTTTTTATTAAAATATTCCTTTTCTATATGAGAATATTTCTTTTTTTGCTTATTTTATGTTTCATTTTTGTATATTTTATATAATAATCACTTTTTCTTTAAAACTTTTAGTATGATTTTTAAAATATAATCAAAGAAACTTAATGCAATTAATATTATTTGTTTTTATTAAAATTAAATGTAACATTTACTAAAAACTTAACACTGAATACCAAAACGTGAAAATTTGAAACTAAGCTATTAAAATAACACTAGTAACAAATATAAAAATTGTTTGTTAGCCAATTTCTTTAATCAAATTTAGCCTTAAACTCAAAGTTAATATTATATTAAGTTTCTTTGATTTTTTTTTATTACATTTTTAACCAAATATGCATTAAAAAATAAATTCATAAGTATAAAAAAACATTCACTTAGCTGTTGATGAATTGCTTGCATTTTAAGTTTCTTGAAGAGGCATTGTTTCAACAAATCATTTCTTCTAAGTTGAGTTTTATAATTATTCCAATACATTAATATATTCACTTGAAGGTAACTCTAACTTGATTGTAGTTAACAACATCCTTTAGATAGAAAAGCAAAGTAGCATTCAATGTTTCAACATGATATAGGATGAAAGTCTGTAAACAAAAAATAATTTATTATTTATAATTTAATTATTTATTAAAAAGTAGATTTAATAAAAAGTAGTATTTTATTTAAACTTACCACTTCTTAGCAATAAATTTATCACTCGTTTTCACATTGTGCATCATCACAATAATAACATTATTTGAAGTATTAATGATGGTTACATTTTTCCATGATGCATCAGCAAAAAATAAACCAGCTTATACTATATTGTCTGTAAAATTATGGATAAATAAATCATTTTTAATAACTAGCAAAAATCAAATATAAATAAAATACGTACAAGTTAATAGCATACATATGCTCCACCAATTTTTGATGGATTATTATAATGGTCACACTCACAAACATCATGAACAAAAGCTGAATCATTACTTTGATTTGGTTATGTTTAGGAGCTATTGCTTTTTTTAATTTTTAATATAATCAAGAATTCATCATTTTGCATTCAAAATTCTTTGATATTATGATGCTCATTTGAATCATTTAATGATTTTACTTTCTGAATTTTATGACGTTAATATAAATATAATCTGATATTAAAAATTGGCGTACTCTGCTTTACTCATATACTTATTTGCGTTTGGCAAATTGTGGGTCTGTTGGTACTGTAATGGCAAAACACTCGAATGCTTCTATACATTTTCAACTGCAAAATATTTCAAATTAAAAAATTATTATAAATTAAGATTTTTTGTTATTTAAAAAAATTGTATTTTCTAATAATCTGCGTGTTTGTATTAATTTTTTTTAAAATACAACCAAACATTTTTTTACAACATATTGTTTTTAAAATCTTAATTATGTATTATAACAAATTAATATATAACTAATATATGCCAAAATAACATAACATTAATGACTCTAAATTGTACTCGCTATATAAATCAAAAGATATTTACATTCAACTATTACTATTTATATATGTTGTGTGGTTGTATATTTAAATCAAAATTAATGCTGGTTAATTATTATTAAATGTTGCAGAGAAAATAAATCTACACATAGAGGATATTTGAACATAAAGCGATCCATAACTATGTGGTGATTTTTCTACTTAAAAAACCAAATAAAAAATTAACATATGCATTTACTTAAATTTTACTTACATCTGCCAAAAGGATGAGAAGTCTATGCATTTAAAGGCAACAAAATAAACCCAAATTTTTTTTGGGTTTTTTTCACATCTTCATTGGTGATTTTTAATGTTTACAGATGTGAGTACCAACTGCGTCGCATGTTATTGGTGACAATTGAACCGTTTTTACAAACATGCTTTTGTAATGTTGTATATTTTTAAATCCTAACAAGAAAAAAAAACAAATATACAATCAGTGGCGTAACTACATTTTTTAGGCCTGTAAGCAAATTCTAACTAAGGGGCCCCTACCAACATACTATGGGGCCCCTCTTTTTATACTCTTTACACGAAAAAATGTGAAAAGGGTATATAATGTTTGTCAAGATTTTCGTAACGCATTAAAGAAAACGTCGGAAATACCATTAAGTATATATCAGTACAATATATATATATACTTTTTCAGTTCAAACTACTCTCTCAGCTTTTGAACTCTTCGAATGAAACTTTACACACATACTTTTCGGGAGCCAACCCTGTTCACCATTTGATTTGATTGAAATTGGACGTCTATTTCTTGTAGCTGTGATATAAACTTAACAATCGGATATGAGGTTTCTCCGTTTTTAATAAAGGTATTCAAATGGAATTTGGTGTATACAGTACTGATATTTGCAAAAGACAACGTACAAAATTATTTTTAAATGGGTTTTAATCTAGATATAGCTCCCATATAAACTCTCGATTAAGACACATATTTTTCTTAGAAAAACTTTTTTATTTTATAAATAGGTTTAATATTTTATTTGAAGTACATACATATTATGTACTTTAAATTTAAAATTTACGTATCTTTTAAAAAATGCAATATGAAGTTATTCCAACAAAAACGTTTCGTCCCACTTTTGAGAATTTATTAAAAATAAATACAATGAATACAAAAATTTATAGTGGGGCCCCCTAAATTCGGGGGCCCGAAAGCGTTGCTTCCAATTGCTTCCCTGTAGTTACGCCAATGTATACAATACATATTTATATATAAATTACTAAATTACTTACCTTATGAAAACACTTCATCAAATCATTTTTTTGCAAATTTCCGACAAGTGAAGTCTTATAAAGCACAAAGTTCTGATCAAATGTTTCGGCTTTATAATAAAGCACGAATATTGAACTTATCAGTAGACGTTTCATTTTTATTAAACTGTGAATATGTTTTTATTTCATTTTATTATAGTAACATAACATCAGTATAATTTTCAATCAGTACATTTGAACGGCGCCATAGCAAAATTTTTAACTTTTCCAATTAGTTAAATGATCCACAACTATTTATTTGCATTATTGTAACATACGCCAAATTCAATACATAAAAATTACACAATTCAAAAAAAAATTTTAAAATAGTTAAGAAATATCTTTACAAAAATACCGGCACTTCCACTGCAATTCCCTTAAATTCACTCACTGCAATGATGCATCAACAAATGAGCTCAGTGTCAGCAAAGATGTCAGTTTTCCACTATTCAGGGTTGCCAACGTTGATACAATTTTGAATACAAAATGTGTAAAAGGTATTATTCACTATTGTGTATTGCACAACAAATGTGTTTAATATCAACACTATCAGTAATTAACATTAAATTTATTAATAATTTAAGTAATAATCAATAACAAATTTATTTGTTTAACTTAAACAATATTCAAACACATCATTATCTGAGCAAAGCATAAATTTAAAAATGTTTTATATGTCAACTCCAATAAAACTGTGAAAGCATAAATTTCTGACAAATAACAGAGTTGTTCTGGAAAAACAGAGTTTTTTTTTGTACAAGAAGTTTTAAACTTAAAACTTTTATTTGTTAAAATTAACAGTAAACAATTTATTTAAATTTTAAATGTCACTTCAGTCTTCAATATCAAAAACTTGAGAACTGCTTAACTTGTGTGCATTAGCTATAGACCCGAATAGATTAAATAAAAAACAATAACATTACTAATATATTTATAACATTAACAGACGGAAGCATAAGTTATCAATGATCATTTAAGAAATGATCGTTTAAAAAATATACTGACTTTTAATAATATAATTACCCTGTGCGACAAAAACAGTTTTTTTCCTTCTGATTTTTTAATGATTTAAGATTAATTTAAGGTTGCTAAACTTTGCAATTGCAATCAATTTCTCTGCTTAATATTACAGTTAAATTGTTGGATGCGCCACATCAATGGCTTATAGTGCATTCACACTATCTCATTTAGGCACTGGCTTATTTATATTAATAAGTGAACATTCGTATTATAATGAGCTCATTTATGCAGCTGATAAAATTCCTACATTCTTTTTTTTACATTTTTACATTCTTAAAACTACCTTAAAGTACATTGTGCACAAGCGCACATGTGCATACGTAAGAATTATTTGTTATATATAGAGTAGCATGCGTGCATTAGTAAACATATAACAACATAACTTCGTTATGCAAGCAATATTGTTGCTTGAGCAATAAGCGCTGAAAATATGCTAGTTAAGCACATTCCATGTCGCTGTTCATAACAAAGTATGTCTGAAATTAGTTACTTTGATGCATGTACGCTACAATATACTTGATATATTAAATCATTTATATACATTTTATATACCAATTAATAAAAACAAAGGTTTTATTAAATAAGCACTTCCGCAGTGCCTTTGTTTACAGCTTAGCTGTTGTTCGTTTACATTTTACATATAAAACATATGACACTTTGAAATTATGGTCATTTCCCTTGTGGAAAGTTTATATATGTGGCTATAATGAGCAAAACCTTCACAATGAGAGTTTCAATGTGCTATTAATTTCTTATACGGCGTTTGCATTGTGAGATTAAAGTACTAATCTCGTTGTTTAATCTTAGATTTCCCATACAAAAGTCAATCTCCTTTTGGTCGATATTAATTTTTTATATTCTTAAAAAAGGTGATTATTTTTTTGTGCAATTCTGCAAATGGCTTAATATCGTAGATTTTTTTACGATCTAAGAAGAATTGGAAAAAAAATGTCAAAATCTATTCAAAACAAACATTGAAAATTTAAAATTGACGAAGTGAGTAAATTTTTATTAAATTTGTTTAATAATAGTTTTGTGTATATTAATAACTAAAATTTGTTATTGTTATATTATTGTTATAAAACTATTTATTAAATTTTTATTGCAATTTTTTTGTACAAAATTATAATTAAATGTTTTATATACAGAAATTTATTAAACACACGAAACAAAACGCAACAAGAGAAACGTCAAAATTAATCTCCAATATGTAATGTAAATGGTGGAGATTAAAAATACAGATTACCTTAATCTCACAATATAAACACTACATTGACTTTACTAATAAAATTAGTAAATCGCGCTGATTCACTAAGCAGTGAAGCAAATACAAAAAAATACGAACGCTATCGCTGCAAGCAGTTAAAAAGTAATCATAATTACTTTAAATACTAACCGCACTTTACATGGAATTTAAATGATACTTATAAACCTGGCGTATACTGAGCTTAGAATTCTACTATCTGGAATAATACCGTGGATTTCGGAAAGTACTTGGTATTGGTTTTGATGTATATATATATATGTTAGGTGTAATAAACAATAATCCATTAAATTCCTATAACCTTTTTGCAAGTTACATTAACAAGTTTTTACCACAACCAGGTGAGTGTGGTAACGTAACATCAAATCGTATTTATGGCGACAACGTAACAAAAATGAATTTCCTTTGATGGCTTTAATATAATATACAAAACGCATAGAAGTAAAAAATATTATATAAAATTTAAATACTTTCATATATAGCAAACGAAGCAAAGAAATGTCACTCTGGTGGATCCTTAATAAATTCGCGATATGTTGTTACAAATTCACATTCAAGATATACCGATTAATTGTTGTACGATTAACCGGTGTTCGTGTTGATGAATCCAATACAATAACAAATCCAGATTGTAAAGTGAATATGAGCGGTCAAAAATACCCTATCCAGATTACGAACCTATCTAAAAAAATCAAACAAACAACATAGTTTTGCTACGGTTGAACTGCAACATTTCATATACGGATTTTAGAAGTCCTATTTGCTTGTCTATTAGTACCATACAACGATTGACTACTTTTGATGTAATTGTAATGGATGTTTCCCAAGCACAAGTAAATTGAAAGCATCTGTTAATAACATAAAAGATGAATCTAGAAATATTTATAATAAGCAATTTATTTTATTAGAAGATGGTCAAATGCGTGCTGGTGTTCTAGAAGGCTTAGACTCAGTTCGGATTAAACGAATAAAGGGCTAATTATTATTTCCTAGTTGGTGTTGTCTCATTTGGACCAATGCCATATGGTTCATCCAATGGTTGGATGGATGACCTTTTTGCTTCTGTCTTTAATTGTCGATCAATATCTCCGTACGTTAAAGTTATAGGAGTTATATGATTTCTTTTAGGATATTATTTTTTTATTTCAAGGATTAACGAATAGCCTCTCATATGTATGTTATGATGTTCGAAAATATTGTAAATAAAAACGTGTTGTTCTTCGTAGACTTTAAAATGATATTATTTATACAATGAAAAAAATATATAGTCCTCATATAAATAAATGTAAGATGTATTTTATACTTTTTTTAAAAACATTTGTTTGTAACTATGATATTATAATATATACGAAAATATTTTTTCATAAATAAAAATTATTAATAATTAGTTTGCAATAAGATTTTGTGCTTAGTTTGTAATAATAATGCATAAGCAGTTTTATTTATAGTATAGTGATCTAAATGACTACTGTTTAAAAAAAATTAATATTGACTTAAAATTAAATTAGTACTTGGCAATAGACTTCCAATATTGAAAAAGATTCTCATACGAAAGAAACAATATTTGATGTATACTCATATCAACAAGGCGGTCAGACAGTTCAAATCATATAAATTGCACCAGGATTGTGAAATATGTTGCAATGGCTGCCACCATCTAAAAGGTTATTATAATAGCATTATTAAAATTTTTATAAAATTAATAAAAATTCTTTCAATTTTTATTTAATGTAATTTGCTTATAATTAAATAACAAAAAAATTGGATTATGAATCGTTTGTTAAAATTTTTTATTACTGTCCATACCTCCGATTTTCAGAAATATAATAAATATTCATAATAACTTCCTATTTAGTATTTTTTTTAAGATTGTTATATTTTCTACTTACATTGGCCAATAAATGCAAATTCAAGTTAAAGAAATCCTTTGCAGTAATAACGAAACGTTGATGCAGCGTTAGCAAGGAAAATTCACTCACCAAGTCGTTGTAATGTTTCCTCCCAAGAGGTTTTACAAGTTTAAAAATAATGGAACCAATATCTCTACTCTACAAATTTAATACCAAGATAGAATAAATATTTAATTAATTAATTATTCAAAAATTTAATAAAATACTTATTTAAATGCTGAGAACATACATAATTATAACTTTCCTGACAACGCCAACATAAAACGGAAAGCAGAGAAAATATAAAAACTATTAATGGAGCAGTTTGAGTCGTTAAAATGCTGTCAGTGGACACCACATCCACTAAAACCCAATAGGAGTAGTTAATAAAATATATGAAGTATGCAGTAATGAAAGATAGTAAAGACCAGCCATAAGTTTGATTTAATAACTTGAACATATCACAAAGTTCAGTATAAAGGGATTTCAAAACGATGATTTTAGTTTCGTCTTCATTGTCATATTGTGGCAATACTTCTGTATTACTATTCTTTGAAAACTTGACCAATGCCTTGAATATTTGTCTTAAGTTTCGTTCACCAAGTTCATTAATGGCATCACGAACAACACTGGCATTTCTATTTACACGTGCTATATGCCCTAAAAATTCCACAGCTTTTATTTGTCCACCAATAGCAGTGGGAAAGAACATCCAAAATACGGAACCAAAAACGCCAACAGAATCTTCCTCTTTGGCTTTGGCCAGCACTATTGCTATATTTACACAAAATATCACTGTATGGTAAAAAAGCATTTGAAGTTGAACTTTCCATATAGATTCGATTGGTGTTATTTTTACATTCAATTTTTCGTATAGACAAGTTTCAATTTCGTTAAATTTCTTTTCAATCTCTTTATGTAAATATTTCGACATCCAAGACTCCGTTAAATAAATTATGTGTGCCGCCATTGCCATCAGATAAACACATGTTTTAACAACCAAACGTGTAATAAGGCCTTCCGAAAGTGTTAAAGTAGCACCGAAATATGCAGCCATCAAAACTTCTATCACCCACAACGACGCAAACATTTCGGAAACTAGTGGTACGTTAGTAAACGGCTTATATGCAAAAATCCACAAACATATCTTAAGATAGAATATACTGAATCGGCAAATATATAATTTCAGTAATAATAATATTGATCTATTTGAAGATATACTGATTTCATGTACTTGCATTATGTTAGCGACTAACAGAACTCTAAAAAGGAAATGACAAGTTGAATATATTAAAATTGAACCTTTTTTAACGTAATTATTAGAATAATTGAATAAAATACGAACAGTCATTCAAATCAATTAATCAAATTTATAGATTAGTAAAAGTTGAACTACCCGATTTAAAAATACTTCTTAGTTTTATGTTAAAGATACTAACTGTTAATGTTAAGACTTTTAGTGACGTGGTACTCTGGTTTTTTAGCCCATGATAAGTGTAGTATAAAAAAAAAATTTAATTTATCATAGTTATAATGGTCAGATTTAGATCAAATATGCGCCGTTTTGCTCGATAACTTATTGCCATTTTGAAGCTATTTTCATTATGCCTCTCTCATACAAATCCTCGTTTCTATTGGAAAAAAATTAAGACAGTCGATTTTCACAAGCCTTTGAAACGAATTTTCGTAAGAACTTTTCAAAAAAGCCACCGGAGCTTTTGGCAAGTCATCGATATCGCAAACAATATGTGTAGCCTGGTATTGTCCTGATGGAACACCGGATCATCCAGAAACGACCAGCTTTGGGAAATAGGAGAGGATTTGTTTCATCAAGACAACGTCAGGCCACACATATCGATAATGACTCGCCAAAAGTTCCGGAAGGTTGGTTGGGAAGTTCTTATGCATCCACCTTAGAATCCAGAGCTTGCACCAACTGAGAACAATTTTTCTGATGAAAAATTCGTTTAAAACGAGGCTTGTGAAAATCATTTGTCTCAACCTTTTGCCAATAGGGACGAGAACTTCTATGAGAGTGGCATAATGAATTTACCTTCAAAATGGGCAGAAGTTATTGAACAAATTAGGCTTTAATTTCATGCAAAAATATGGATTTTTTTTTACTTCATCTATTATTTTTAAATTGATGCCAACTTCGTTTTTCTATTATAAAGAATTTGAGAATTTTTTAATTAAAAAAAAAACACCCGTTTCTTTATAATTCATGCATATAATATATATTAAATATATTATAAACTGTATAATATATATAAAATATATCAAATAAATTTAAATTCTACCTCGAATTATCTTTCTCAACAATATTTTAAAATACAAATACAAAAAATTTCTTAAAAATCAACAGTAATTTTTCTTATAACCAATCAATCATTCAATCATTAAATATTTTAACAAATCCAACCTTTATTTACCAATTATTTTATAAATAAAATTTATAAATACCACACATTTGTTTATATGTATATATGCCAGTGACGGCTACTCTAAGGTGCGGAGGTGTGCTGTGCACCTTAATATAATTTGCGAAATGTTGAATAAAATATATAAATTCATTGTATGCTTTCGTTTGCAATATGAGAAATACAGATTAATATAGTGGGAAATGTATGACAATTATTATTCTGTTCTATTCGAATATGAACTTCTTGCATATGGATCGAACATGTTGATTTGCCGAAGTACTTAGTTGTGTACTAAAATCTGCAGCACACATTTCAGTACATTTCTATTAAATTTCATCTCTCCCCTTCTAGCTGTAGCACCAGCGATTGTGAGCCGTTTGGTGCGCGGAAAAGTTGGCCGCACATTCATACGTTGCAAGTGTGTTCGATTTTGTTTGATTACTGTATAAACATGTATGATTCTAAGTACAAACTCTTTTGTTTGAAAAAATTTGATTTGATGTTATAAGAAGTATGTGAAAAGTTGTATTTATTCCATATTGATATAATATTAAACTTATGTGTATATAAATTAATAATTTAATTTATTTAATATGTTATTTAGTTAATGAATTATTAAATGTTATGTTGTGAATATATTGTTTCCTAATCTAATATAGTTATTATTAATAAAACATTTTTTTCAATTTATTTCATATATTAACATTGTGGAAGGGCCGCACACCTTTACAAAGTTTGTCTCCAATATATGCCCTCATATATAGTACATATCTATATAAATAAGTACTTTGTTCAGATATTAAAGATATATTCTGGTTTCAACAAAATAGCAATTCCATCTGCCCGGCGTAAAAATGTTGACAAAATAAAATTTACCATTAATTATGAATTTAAATTTTATTTTATTTTTTTAATTATCATTACCACTGTTGCTATTGTTATTGTATTTTTAAATTGTTGATGTGTATATCCCATTGATATTTATTCTACATTTATATTTAATATTTCATTTTATAATGAAATTTTTATTGTTTATTATATTTTTTTTTATTTTTTTGTTTATTGAAGTATGGTAACTACATGTGAAATATGAAAATATAAATATTAGTGTTAGTTTTTGCTATAACATCAATAATTATTTATAATTAATTTATGTCCTCTCAGAAATGTCGGTAGTAAGTACAGTAGTAACGACATTTTCAATAATTTTTCTTGCCGAAAAATTATAGGAACTATTCGTAATAATAGGAGGGATGACGGTTGTATTTGCAAGTTTCTGGTCAGTTCCTTCCGACAACATAAATTGTATTAGAATTACTAAATATGTCACAATAGCGGCAACCATCTGAAAAATCAAATAAAAAACAAACAATTTACTGACGATAACATATAAGAGTGATTATTTACTAAGTATTTAATGATTATATTTTTATTTCTTTCAATTCAAAATGTATCGTAAAATATTTAATTTCAGTTTGCTACAATTCTTCTATTAGCAGTGAAACTCTGTATATATATAAGATATACTTTGTTTAATATAATAATAAGTTGTTTGGAAAAATTAGCTACTCATAGTAAAACTCAAGTAAAACACAGGTACAGTACAAATTGAGACCATAATACAAATAAAGTATCAAATTACGCTCTGTACACAGATTGTCATGGAACAGCTTTGTGTAAAATGTGGAGTGAACACCAGTGCCGCGCAAATAATCAATACAAAAATTTAAATTCAAACTAAAACAGATGATTCACACATAAACACAAATTTTACTTGAAATAAAATGTACGAGTAAAGTCTGTATTGCATTTTCAAATTTTGACAGGGATGTTACGCTTCCTCAGATGCTCTTATTTACTCGAAAATTTTCTGATGGACCGCACTTGTGTACACACAATGTTACTGAAAGTTACTATGAGTAGCTCGTGGAACAGTCCTATTATAAAGCATATTTTTTGCGACAGATTCATTTTAATTTATCAGCAGAGCCTTTTTTTTAAAAAACATGTATGTTAAAGATTTATACAAATCTTTAAAAAAAAGTGTTCCCGTCGTCGATTGTTCTTCTCGGTGATTAATTCGTTTTTGAACTATTCAGGTTATAAATCAATTTATTTAGTTTTCAACTAAATCAAATAAATCTAAGGCATTTATTTTCTGCAAACACCTAATTTGTCATCTTGTGGACGTAGACGTTATGCAAAAACTTGTACCCGTATTCTAAAGGACATTACGGCCGGAGATTCAAAACTTTTAATAGGCATGGTTAAAGACCATGTAAATCACTGTATTGAGACAGAAGAGTACAATTTTGAATAAAATAAACCAGTGTCCCTGATTTCTTATAAATAATTTTTTTTTTTAAATTTATATCTCTGCCTTTTTTATTAAAATTATAAAATTTTTCACTGTTTTAATTATTTAGGTGTAAAGTATTATTTTAAAATATATTTAAGTACTTTTACTTACACTTCCCAACAAATTCAAATTCAAGTTGAAAAACTCCTTTGCTGTAATAACGAAACGTTGATGGAGGGTTTGCAATGAGAACTCACTTATTAAGTCATTGTACCGTTTATTGCCAAGAGGCTTTACAAGCTTGAAAATAAGGCAACCAATATTTCGACTCTAAAGAAAGCATTTTAAATATTGAAATATTAAAGTTTAAAATTTGAATAAAGTAATTTTTATAAAACTTACATAATTAAAACTTTTCTGACACCGCCAGCACATTGCAGTTAAAAAAGAAAAAATGACAATTAAAAATGCCATATGATGAATTATTTTGAATCCATTAAGGGAAACCAAAGCCACAAAAAACCAATACGAATGGAAAAGAAAATATATAAAATAAATTGTTGTAAAACATAGCAAAGACCAACCGTAGGTTTCGTTCAACAATTTGAACAAAGCAAAAATATCGGTGTAAATACTCTTGAGAATCATTATCTGACTTTCGTCTTCGCTATCGTCCTGAGGTAATACCTCTACAAAATTATTCTTTATCGATACCTTAAATAATGGTTTAAATATATGCCGTAGATTGCGCTCACCAATTTCATTGATTGTGCTAAGAACAATACACGCGCTACGATTTACACGTATAATATGAGTCAAAAACTCAACAATTCTTATTTGCCCAGCCAAAGCATTTGGAAAATATATCCAAAAGACTATATTTACAACTCCGTTTATATTTTGCTCAAGTACAATGGTATAAATTATGATCACATTGGCACAAAATGTAACTAATATCAAATATAGATTTGGAAATGCCTTATTCCAGATATTATCTATAGGAGTGGTTTTTAAATTTAGTTTTTCATTTAAACACATTTCAATTTGGTTAAATTTTTGTTCAATATCTGCATGTAATTTTCTTGATGAAGTTGATTCCATTAAATACGATAGATGACATATCATGCCCATTGAAATAATACATGATCTCACTACGCGACTGACAACGAATCCATTCGAAAGTAAATTTGTAATTGCGAAATAATATACAAACATTATTTCAATAACCCATAAAGTTGAATAAATTTCATAAACCATCGGTAGATTCGTAAATGGCGTATAGGCGTATAAGCACAACCAAAAACTTATGCAAGTCATTATTAAACGGGAAAGTTTTATTTTTATAGATAATACCATTGGTGTTCCAAAAGATGAACCACTTTGTTGTTGCTCCATTGATTTACTAACCTTACTTTAGTCTGCTAGAAAAACAAAATACTTCTTTAATCTGGAAAAAACTTCACCTGATGATAAATTGAAATTCAATATAAAACATTTTAATTGATTTTAAGTATTATAATTGTTATATGTTAAATGTTAAGTGCTTACTAAGCACACATTAAAATTATACTAAATAAATAATCAATCAATAGTCAGTTAAATGTTATAATCATTATTAAGAAGGCACAGTGGTTCTAACACCCTAAAAACACATAACGTTAAAAACACTGATTTTTTGAGTTAATACTTTATTAAATTAAACTTACGATTTAATATAATTGAATTACCTACAGTGGTTGTAAATTTGACCAGGATATCTTAATTGCTACTGCCCTCAATAATTAATTAAAAAAATAGTTGTATTTTTCCTATACAACTGAGACCCACTATAGTTTGCACGCAAATTATGTTTTTTCCTCGATTCTATATGGAAAAATTTGTACAAGAAATTAAACACAAAGGGTTAACCAAAATTATTTAAGGGTAAGAATCGCACGGAAAAGGTTATTATGAGCCCACTAAATTTATTTGAACCGCTTCGCATGATGCACTAACAAAGCGTTTCTCTCTACATTCTAATCCACTTATTTGTAGCGCTGCCATGGTGTACTCTAATTATTAAAAAATATCAGTATGTGTGAAGTGCTTTAAATCAGGTAAAAAAAACTGTTTTAATATGCAATAAAAGTACTGATTTGATAAACACTTAATAAGTCACAATAAATACACACCTGAGTATAACGAGTGTAAAACGCTTACTTCCAATGTCCATCAAGAAAGGACATCTTCCAATAAAAAAAGGGTTCATAGTGGTATTTAAGCGCTCGGTTAGCTGTTGTGAAGTTTTCCATTCTAGAGGGATTTTGAATAGCAAATTTTTATTTCTTAAAGGACAAATACAAAAATTTATTTTTTAATTTTATTGAAGTTTGGCTGACCATACAACTCTGTTTCGAGTATTGCCAAGTACTCTTCATCAGTGGTCCTTGGAATAATCGAATTTTTATTTAATTAGTTTATAGTCCGTATATAATTTGTTTGGACTGCAAGTGCCAGGCTTAGAACTCGTGCCTGTCAAATTAGAAGCGATGACTAATCGTGTTTATATACAAGAAGTTTTCCATTCTAACTAAAATAAAAATTGGTAAAGCACACAGATCACACCTTGTACAAATAATAATGGAATCCATGCCAAACACATTTGACGACTAGTCGACTAGTCAGTATAGACCAGTATATATATACTGATATATTGGGTGTTTTTTTTAGCTACATGAGAACTATTAATATCGATAACTCTAGTTTGCCAGCTGAGAATGTCAAACTGTGTTTATATTTGTGTTCAGTAAGGTTTTGCAATTCATCATAAATCGTTTAACGGTAGAACAATGCTTCCAAATTGTAGAAATTTACTTTGAAAAAAATAAATATGTTTGCGAAGTTAATAAAAAAAAGCTTTTTTCTTAAATGGCCACATCAATAAGCAAAATTACCGTAGATGGAGCGAAGATAATCCTCAAGCCGTTAAAGAATCACGATAACATCCATTAAAATTTACTGGTTGATGCGATTCACACGCTTCCTCTTTCGAAAAGAGAAAAAAGTAGCTATCGAGTCAATTTTCCGTTTCCAAAAATTAATCAGTTAAACATCGACTACATTTTTTTTTTCTAATGGCACAACTTGTCATGCAGTGCGCTTAACAATTAATTTATCGCGAAACCACAATCAATTTCGTAGTAACTTTATTTCCAAAAGTAATCCCGTTTACTGGACTCCTCGTTCTGTAACTTGTAGCCGTGGCGAACATATGCCGGCAATCATATTTAAAAAATAAATGCCATTAAATTATCTACTAGATCATTATAAATTTTTATGCAGCTAAAAAACCATCTAATAGAGTTCTAATACGTAATTTCATACCACAAAAAAAAAGCAAAATTTATAGACTTATTTCTTTTCTTTATAATTTTGTTTTAACAAATTTTGTATATAATTATTAAAAATGGCTTAAATTTTAAAACTTTACTTTTAATTTATATACATATTAATTTTATTAATTATTAATTTTATTTATATACATTTGTACAAATGAAATCATATTCGAAATTTGTGAATATTATTAATTTAATTTTATAATACAATATCTCTTTATATACATTTTGTTACAGTTTTTTTTACATATAACATTTTTAACACATTATTTTAGTTATAAAAACGCAGATATATAAAGATATAATATAATATATACACAAAATAAGCAAAAAATTTAATACTTTTTGACTTTTTTTATTAAAATGATTAATTTATATTACATATCATATATACTCCTACTCTTGCAAATTTCTGTTTAATATTTTTAAGCTATTTAAATATATTTTCTATGTGATTTAGGTTGTAATTTAGGATGTATTTATTATAATAAATAATAATAATAATAATAAATACATTAATAATAAAATAATAAAAAAACGTATTAAATTTATATTACAATTCTACATATTCCGCCTGCTTACAATAAATTTGTAAGGTAAAAATGCTCTTGTATTACGTATGAATCGTTTAGGGTGACAGACTATCATCAAAGAGTATATATACATAGAGTGTGCATCACTCAAAAAATCTTAAAAATGAAGTGAGGGCAATTTCACAAAAATCGGTCGCAGAAATCGGGGAAATAGTATTTGAGTTATTTTTGTGTCACATGGACTCGTTGTGACTCAATTTTTAATTTTTGAGCTTTAACATGCGGGAGAGTTTGGAGTGTTTAAGCATTTTATACTTAATGAGTTTTAAAGAAATTTGTATTGCTTTGTGTCCAAAATTAACGAGACAACATATATTCCCTAACTCTTTTGAAAAAATGAGAGTAAAATTTGGAACACAAGTATTTAGTAAAACTGTTGTAGCTGCTATTAAAACCGTTGTAGATACATCTGATTTTAAAAAAAGCACTATAGAAGTTGCATTGGCAACTGCACATTTCATACAAAAAATTGATCGAATATTTGATTGTATGAATAGCTGTTCTTTATGTGCTGACAATTCTTTTAGATCAGCAATCCAATTAGAAAATGAAAGTTGTAATTTTATTAAATACTTTCTAAATTATATTAAACAGGTGTCTTTGGCAGATACATCAAAGAAAGTGTTTTTTTTAGAAGGACTGCAACTCAGTTTACAAGCTGCTTTGTTATTAGCAAATGACATTTTAAAGTCCTCAACTGAAATTTATTTTTTAATGACAAAGCGTTTAAATCAAGATAGTCTTTGCACACATTTTGTAAAACGACTCAAATATTGAAAACAGAAGTTTAGGACCAAACCATCGAAATATGGCAACAAAGATGGAACAATAGACAGCTAGATTGATCACTTGGCTCAAACGAAAATCGGGAGACACAAATTACTATATCACTCAGATACTAACCGGACATGGATACTTTTGTAAGTATATTTTTTTTTAATTTTTATATTTTTATATATACTTTTTTTATATTATTATTATACTTTTAGTATTGTTGTAATTTTTTAATTTTTTATATTTTATTTTTATTTGTATTTATTTATTTTATTATTTAATTAATTATTTTTTATTTTTTATTTTATTTTTTTATATTTTATATTTTTGTATTCTTTCCTATTCTATTTTTATAGTTTCTGTTATACTGAATATTTTCTTAGATTCATTAGGTTTTTTTTGGAGTTTTTTTAAGATTAATATATGTATATGATAATAAAAGTAGTTTTTTCTTGTGTATTTGAATTGGGGTAGTTATCTATTGACAAAGTTTTATAAGGTTAAGTATATATATTTTTTTCAGTGATCATCGTCACTGTGTCCGTTTGTTACTATTCTGGAGGCTTGGTTGGATAACCCACTTGTTGGGTTATGTAAGCAAATTTCCAATCGTATAATGATGATTGGAACTTTGAGCATTAATAATAATACAAGTTTTGTTTGGTAAGGCTGAAGGTTTGAGCACATAAAAACACGTTCTCATATGGGCCAAAAAACGTGGTATGGAATTGTAGTGGTATGATGAATTCCATGTTATACCCACAAAGGTATATATATGCTCATACACGCTTAGTTGTACTGGAATTGATATGGTTGGCATGATAGGTAGTATAGTGGGAAATTCAGAAAATTCATGTCTATATTGGTTCTTATGAATCGACATAGATGATGTTTCTTCATCCAACAAATCTCGGTATATTTCATGAGATAGCCCTTTTTCGGTAGGTATAAACCCGATGCCACATGTATTACACGTAGACAAGAGGATATGGTGACGTGGACTAATTAACGGTGTGTTATGTACTTCCCGCGGAGACATATGTAACAACTAGAACAACGTTTTAGCACGTGAGAATGTTGATGTCGCCATTTCTAAGGATTTAACAACACTAGGTAACAACCCGCCGAATTCTTCGCAGCTATATATGATACTTCGTCTGTATTGGCGGGGATGTTTTGTTCCCACATCACATAAGCGAGGATACATAGGTCTGTTTGGCTGTTCATATGGCTGCGGGAATTGGTCTAATATTAAGGTACGGTTTGGAGTCATGGGCTCACCAGTGGTTTGTGACATACAGCAACACATCATGGGACATCGATGGGACAAAAATAATGCGTTATAATTAATAGCGATTTGGGTATCGAGATAAATTATTGCAAGTACCCCTGATGAATTCCCACCTTGTGGCAAACCATGGACTTGCTGGTATACTTTCTCTTTAAATGTAAAAAAGTTCCAGTAATGTAATTTAACATCTGCCGAAATAATTTTACATTTATCGGACACTTATTCCTAAACCATGACTCAGCGGTCATATCCTCTAGTATTGCCCATAATGATGCGACTTGAGTGCGAGGATACATGTCACGTATGTCCATCGTTACCAATATGTAGCCATGTAGGTGTTTGAGATGTAATATATGGTCGGTCAGTTGATTTATATCTGACAAGTTGTGAGACGATAATCGTCCTTTGGTTACTGTTTCCAATATGTATTGACATAATTTCTGGATAGGTCGTGAGTACCAATGTATTTGACTAAATATTGATCTTATAGGATTATTTGGTTTATCTGTCTGTAATGTACCATACAAGTATGGCAGTGCTGGTTTCTCGCTCTCTTAATAATAGACGCAGACTGTAGGGGTAGGGATCACCATTCCCCTTATAGAGTCGGTATAAAGCTCTATATAATTTTATGTATTGGGCGCGAGTTTTTCGTATTAATAGCCTAATATCTCCATTGTATTCCTTACAATAACCAGTGTCTAGGTAAGTCGTCGGTCACATAATCCTGTTTGTACATTAGAATTGTCGATTTACATTTATCGGATTGCACAGTTAATATGTGTTCTTAAATATGTATGTAATCATTAGTTCTTTGGTAGAGATTCAGTAACACTTCATGGTATGAAGTGGGCTGATTATATTTTATCATCACCTCTAAAAATTTTGAGATAGAGCTTCCATTTCTCTACGGCAGATCTGACTTAAATCGGTTAGCGCATTCATATCGGCATCATAATATGTATATATGGCTGTCATATAATTAGTTATGATAGATGGAGTTCCGGACAGTACTGCGGCCCAAAGCTTAGCAGTATCTCCACTTCCTTTAGTACTATTAAAGATGTCAGGTTTTGAAACCCACCAGGGATTGGGAAAGGATATAGTATATCAGGGATGTAGTTATGAAGGATTGAAGTGAGTATTTGGGGTTGGGTTAGTTCTGATATATGTGTGTGGTATTTGGACAGGCCTGTACAAGATAGGAATTGTATGTGTATTAATTATGTACGTAGGTAATTTCCAATCGTATAATGATGATTGGAAGTTTGAGCATTAATAATAATACAAATTGACTGGAGATAAAATGATAAGTGCAGCATGATTACTTTCATGAGTACACATTACAAATGAAGAAGATCGCAGCTTCAGGAAATATTGAAGAGAAAACAATTATTTAATATGTAGTGGATGACTTGAAAATGAGAAATGAGTAAAAAAATGTTTATGCACCGATGCAAAAATTTAAGAGAACTAATAGAAGAATACGAAATTTTGGAAAAAATAAAAGAAACTGATAAACCAGAATGGAAAAGCCAAAATATTAAAGGCTATATATTAAAGGTGAACATTGTTTTAATTATGGAATTGATGTGCCACCAAAATATTAAAGTGAAATTAAAAGTATGGTAAAATACTATACAATTGCATCGAGCAAAGAAGAATGTCCGATAGTATTAAAAATGATCACTATATTGAATGCCACAAAGAAGTAGGAGCTTAAATTTAATGGGAACAAATGTAGCTTTATGGAAAAGTGTGTGTGCTTCTTAAGGCATATTATTGAAGATGACATAACTTGGCCTGGTGAACTTCACTGTTAAAAAAAACATTAAATCTGTTCAGTCGTTTTTAGGTTTATCCAGATTTTCCGCAAATTTAATAAAAAATTATGCTGTGCTGGCCAGACCGATGACAGAGCTGTTGCAAAAAGATGTGAAATTTGAAATAGGCAATACTGAACTGCAAGCTATACAACAGTTGAAAAATGCATTAACAAGTTACCCTATACTACGCATAAATAACAAAAATACTGACATGGGTCTGCTTACGAATGCTTCGAAATATGACTTTGGTTGCTGCAACGCTTCGACAGTAAACTTCATCCGATTTATTATTGGAATAAACGTCAGTACGAAAATTGCAACAACATAGTTATCCCTATACGGTATTTTTTGTTGAGCCTAAATTTCAAGCTGGTTACGAACTGCATAGCATTCACACAGAATATCAAAAAGGCAGATATACCTCGAAAGATAGCCCAATGGATTTTTTATACACAAGACTTTGAATTTCAAGTGGAACATTGACGTGCAGAAGGAATAAAACATGTGGATGCACTTAGTCGTAATCTTATTGAAATAAACATCATTCAATCCGACATTTCAGCTAGAATTGGATACACAATGCAAAGATAAGCAGTTGCGTGCAATTATGGAAGTAAGAAAGAGAGGCAATGTGTAAATTATTCCATGTGGTATAAGGTTAAATGTTGTATAAGGTTGTTAAAGAACTCGATATGATCGTAGTACACAGATGTATGGAGAAAAAAATTATAACGTCTGCACACGAAGATAGTCATTTTGGAACAGAAAAAACAATACATATTTTACAACAGAATTTTTGGATTCTTCACTTGAAAAGCAAAGTAAAACAAATAATTAAAAATTGCGTAACATGCATTATTCACAATAAAAAACTTTCTCCTACATACAATTCATATAGACCACTTGGGACCAATTGAAACAATGACAAATATATATATTTTGTATACTTTGTATTTCTTACTTTAAGTATTTGTCGTAGCTTTCAATGTTGAAGCATTAAGATTTTTTAAAGTACTTATTATGATCAATGGAGAGAATACTTTATATAAATTAATTGGTAATTTAAATATAAACACAGGAGACAACAATATAAATATGGAACCACGTGAAAATTGAAAATTTGTGTTACAAAATCTGAAATATATTGACCCATTCGATGGTAACAAGGAAAAAGTTGCATTATATATCGGAAATAAAAAAAATTATTTGCCAAGTATAACAATACTATCATATAAAATACCACCAGACTGAACAACTTACTCTAATTGTATATTGAGGACAGTAACAAAAGATGCCTTAAATATTATACGAAGATAACAACCAGCTAACTGGAGGGAGTTGAAAGAAATACTAATAGAGAAGTTTAGTGAGCACAACACAATCTCTACCTTAATAATTATGTTGAAGCTGATTTGAGCTAGTGCACTTAAGCACTTATACTCTTTTTTAACTCGAGGTTAAAATAACGAGGTCTGCGAAATTTCAAAATTTGATTATTATAACTGTAAAGGATATTGTTCAGTAGTTTTATTAAGTTTAGTGGATTTCAGATATGCTGAATATTATTTTTTACTCTATTTTAAATCAATAGCAGTTACAAGGACCGTTTCATGGTCAATTAATGAAGGGACTTCTGGACACTGTAATGATTCATATATATGTGGGGTGCAGATCTGGCAACGCCAGCACATGAGCATTAGGGAGTAGAAAAGAAGAAGCAAACGAATAGTGCAGAAAAAGACGTGTGAAGTAACGACGGTGTGCTCGGACAAATAAAAAGTTTTTCATTTATATTTTTTCAATTTTATTAATTACCTTTGTATTAATAAATTAATATAACCATAAACATATTTAAGATTTTAATAAAAAGGAATCCTACAAATTGGGGGCTCGTCCGGGATTTGAATTTCTGGCAATTGTGAAATTCAGTCTACACAATCACTTGCTTAAATGACTTCGTAAGCAGCAGCCTGCGCAATAGCTTTGCACAAATTTATATATCAAGAAGAAGGTGATAGAAATAATCGAAAGACAGAGAGAATTCGATCTGAATTCGATTACGACCGAAAACGCAAACGACGATGAATGTAATGGCGAAGAAGGAGATGAAGAAGTCGATGATGACGGTGAAGATGACGACAGTAAACGCACTTTCAGAGACGATGAACGTTTGAAGTGGATGATAATAATAAAGCAGCAGCGTACACACGTACAAAATATTTACAAAGAGAAGCACCAAAATTCGCAATGAACTTTCGCGATATAGAGGACTCAATTAGACCATTTGATGGCACAAATATCATTTCGGTAGAAAGCTGGATTGAAAAATTCGAGGAACAAGCTGCACTGATGTGTTGGAATGGGTTTCAAAAACTAGTGTTTGCAAAAAAATCTCTTAGAGGCATTGCTAAACTTTTTATTTTGAGCGAAAGAGGTTTAAATTCGTGGTGTGCTTTGAAACACTCCCTGTTAAATGAGTTTAGAACAACAACAAATAGCGCACAATTGCATAAGCAACTTAGTGCTCGCAAAATAAAAAAGATGAAAATGTGTTTGAATATTTTTATCAAATGAAAGATATTGCATCTTGCGGCAATATCGAAGAAGAAGCGCTTATTCAGTATATAATAGATGGAATTAGAGACGGTTATGTAAATAAAATGATACTATATGGTGCAAAGAACCTTCATGAATTTAAAGACAAACTAAGATCATATGAAACAATGTGTGAAAACAGTAAGCAAGTTAACGATTTTAAACAAAGCGAAAAGAAAAGTTTCTCAACAAATAAAACAGAAAAAACAGACGTGAAATGCTACAATTGTGGTGAAAAGGGACATTTGTCCATGAATTGCAAAAATAAAAATCAAGGTACTAAATGCTTTAAGTGCAACCAGTACTGACATATTTCTTAAAACTGTGAACAAGCCGAAAACAAAATAAATACGCGCAGCTTACAGCTAAAAAACAATTTAACTACCAAATCCATTTTTATTGGCGATTTACAGTGCGCAGCCCTATTCGATACAGGCAGTAAATTTAATATAATTCGCGAAGACTTATACAACAAGTTGAATAAGCCTATCTTAGAAAAATGTAACGTATGTTTAATTGGTTTCGGTAGTGATCGCGACTCAAATAGCATTGAACCGATTGGACATTTTAAAAACTTAATTAAAATTGACGATAATGTTTTCATACTAGACTTTTATGTCGTTCCAATTCGTTGCATGGACTTACAAGTGATCATTGGCGAAGAACTATACTTATATGCTGAAATTTTATTTAATCGTGGTTCGTAACGTTTATAGTTCGTAAAATAATGAAAATTGACTTAATAAATGACAACAAAACGATTGATATCGACAAAACCGCGAGTGAGAATGCAAGATGACATGTACACGAAATGGTCATAAATTATCAACCGAATCAATGTAAAACAACACAAATGGCGATGTACATAGTGGTCAAAGACGAAACATCCA